CTTCATACCTTAGTCTAGTAACCTTGGTTGAGCTTTGAACACCATAATTCAAGCTTGAGAGTGTGTTGGAACTTAGTTTGATCACAAACAAAAAGCTTACTCCCTTGAGAGGTATAAGCTTGTAATCTTCTCTCTTGCTTTCATTTCTTTCTTTTGCTACATAATTCTTATTGTTCTGTATTGTTTTGATCCTATTTCAAGTGTTTAAATTTGGTGTTTGAAGAGCTACCAAAAGGGTAGAGAGAGTTTGCTCTTTCTACACCTTTACCTATAGCTCTACACTGATTTTCAGAGTTGAAAAATGGCTAAAAACCATGCTTTGAGGTTTCAAAAGTGGGGGGGTTAGCCACCCCTCCTAGTTCTTTTTTACTAACTTTGTTTCCCCTCTTTGTTTGGTTTTTTTAGGCTCTTTTCTTGCATTTTTAGCTACTGATTTTCATCACTTGAGGGCTGTTTGAGGGCTATTCTAAGTTATTTAAATAGTTCATGCTTTGATTAGCTCGTTTGTTATCTCATAAGTTTGCATACACAGCTTGTAGTATATTGTTCTAAGCTTTTCTTCAATTCATTTCCATGTTTAAGAATCTCATTTTAATAATCAACTTGTCATTCATCTCTTTCATTTGAGAGTTGTTTCAATCGGTTGATGGTTGTTCAAAGCGTGAACTAGCGATTTACCCTTAATAGCTTAATCTCTACAAAGGTTTATTGCCAACGGTGCAGTCTCTTTTTCATGTTGAGAATCACCTCCCGTTCGACATATTTCTCACTTAGTGGACGTAACCTTTAGTGGATGTAACAATCACCTTGCACTCAATGGATTAAAGGATGGTAAAGACTAATGAATTTGGCTTAAAATGAACCAACTCACATAAAGAAAATAAGTTATCTTGCTTGGGGTTCGACCGAATGTTATGCCGAATCCGTTGTGTCAAGAGTTGTCTAACATCAATTCATGATGTTTTGATGGATCTTAAAGCGTCTCTACCTCCCTCTTTGAGTTCACTCCATGATAGGAGGGAGGGAAGGTCGTTGCTTATTTCATTTGTTGATTTTTGTCCAAAATTGTGCATCA